ATACAGGAATCTGGGAATGATGATCAATGTGCTTGAACCAGGTCCCAGGGTCTCCCAGCATTTGGACATGGTCTGGATAGGGGCTTTGGTAAGGGGTTGATGTTTGCTGGTGTTCATCTGTGTTGTCTGTCATTCCCCATATTGTATGGACCTGTACCTATCAACCTGAGAGCAGGGGAAGAGGTTTCCATGGTATGAACACCATTTCAAGTGGTGCAGCATGGTCTCAGCAGGGGTGGTCGGGTGGGCACACTGATAGAATATCCTAATGTAATTTATTTGGATTACATGAAAGTCGATTGACCTACCAGAGGCTGCAAATGACATGTTCCATCTGCTCCAAAATGAGTGACAGGCTGTCACAGTCAATTTGGACAGAGGCCATGGTGCTGGCTCGATGTTTGCTGGTGTTTGCAAACAATTTCCCATTAGCAGCAGACTGACATGGGCCAAATTGTCAAGGACCATCCAACTGCAGCCTTGGTTGATCATGCAGGACTGGAAGTGGTCAGCCCAACTGTCCAGTCTGGGGCCAGTGGTTGGGAAACTTTTCATTCTGTTTACCTGTCAGCTTTGGATCCAGTTGGATGCAACTTGGCTGAGAGGTTCAGAGGGAAAACCAGAGCCAACATCTTTGGAAGATGCCATTCAGAGTTGGACTCTGAACCAGACCTTTGTTGATATAGATTGTGGTTCCCATTCCTGTGGAACTGAATCCCAGTGTTGCCTAGTGTAGTCTGATCAGGTAGCAACATGTTTGGCATCTTGGGATGATACCTGGCCCAAATGTGAACCCCCCTCTTCAGCTTTGCTCCATCAAAACAATTCCAGATCAATCCAGCTGTCCATACCATGTCTGTGCCACTTGAATGACATGGCAGGACCATTTGGATCACACCAGAAAGGACCCTATGTGTCATTCCCCTCCTCTTATCCTGGGGGTGCTAATCCTGTAAAGTTTAGCAAGCATGAAAGCTTGTCAGGAATGGTTGTCCTGGAGGGCCTGAAAGTCACAATGGATGATGACAATGGTTGCAGCATTTCTAGGTGTCAGAATATCCATGTAAGATATGTTACCCTGCCCTCCCCATGTTCACTCCATCAAAACAATTTCAGAGATTGATCTAGCTATCTGAATCATGTCTACTCCATGGGTACTACATTACAAGACCATCAGAATTGCATTACAAAGGTCCCCATATTTGTTTCATCGACATACCTGATCCCCTCCTCATACCCCAGGGATGGAAATCCAGTAACATCAGGAGGGGGTGCCAGCTTGCTAGGGATGGATGTCCTGGGTGTTATCAATGCCACTGAAGACAATGGAAATGATTTCCAGCCTCCCAGCAGTATTTCCAAAGAGATACCACTTTGTGGTCTGACCATCCTTCTACCCCCTGTAGATTTTTTTTCTGATTGCCAATTTCATTCAAATTTCACCTGAGACATCCCAATTGACATATATATCAACTCCCAGCATCATTTCCCCCAAATTATGGTCAGGAGTTTGTAATTATAATTCCCCCAGGGGCTGTATAAACATAGCCTCAGAAGAGGTCATGTTCTTCGAGTCTCGAAAAGCAAGGATAATTATGGATATCAGGAGCTTAAGAGCTGTTGTAGGCCTAGTCAAGATGCGAGGGAGATGGGGTATCCTTGACAGGGCACCTGGGACAGCAATGACAACCTTTGCAGACAATATGATGGAAGGATATTTACATGATGAACACGGTGATGACAACGACTTCATCTTGTGAGAGAAGTAGTTGATTCAATATAATACCATATATATGGGAATTCGTGGTGTGACGACGCGCAGGATATTGATACATATATACATACTGGGGAGAGATGTGATCCCTTTCCAGGTGCAAGCCCTGACTCAGTGCACTCCAGATCCAAAAAGCTACCTGAAGGATGTCACAACAGACCTGCACCCACAATAGTCAATGATGTCTCCACCCAAGAAGGTGACTCCTACAGGTCGTCGACATCGTCACACAAAGCTGTCCTGGTGGTGATGGAGCCCACAATGTGGCCATTGACGGTGATGGCAGAGCTGGAGATGGGTTGAGAACTCTTCATGATGGGGTAGAAGATAAGGGTGATGGTGGTGGCTGCAGGAGGGGCTGACTAGGAGGGGGGGCAGGTGTTATGCCCGAGCACAGTGACTTCTTCAAATGGAATAGGCACGAAGCACACAAGGTGGGAGACTATGGGCTGAACTTGTCATAACCCCTATGGCTGAGTTATTGAAATATCCCAACAGAGGTTCTGTCTACTGGCGAGTCCCTAAGGTTGTTCACATGGAGAGAGAGAACAAGGAATAGGTCAAAGGGATGAAGCTCAGTTGCAAGCTATCAAAAAACTGCAGATACAGGACGAAGTATGTAGGATTATATACTCCTAAGTACAAGTACCGTAGCAGTCGCAAGTGATGCATCACGACACATATCCGCAGTAGTCAACGAGTTCATCAATGAAATAGAAAGGAGTCATGCGGTGTCAAAGATGGGGGTAGGCATGGAAACGAAGGCTATACCGGCTGCACCATCAAGGTGCAGCGAGGAGCCTGACACCAGATCTATAGTACAACATACAAGCAATATAAGCGAGTCAGAAAGAGTCAACGGAGCATGAAATGAACAAGTCGTCCATCAGAGAGGGTGGTGGAATACCAGATCACAGTGGCAACGTGGTCTTGACAGGTATTGGAAATACCTTGACAGCAGGAGATCCGAACGTTCCCTGGAGCATTTGAGCCCCTAGGATGGCAATGATTATTAGGGATGCAACGAGGCACATGACGCACATGACCACAAGGATTCGAAAAAGGAAAGACCCCTGACAGAAGCATAACATCACCCCCCCTCTAAGGTCCTCAGACCCTTGAGGATGGGCCGGAAGTTGTGTTTGCGGGACAGGTGGATAGGGGTCGGTGAGTAGTACAGACACAGGAACACGTCTGAGCGGCAATGGGCGATGATGGTGATGGAGTCAGCGGTTCTTCAAGGGCCAGAGTAAAGCGGGAGCCACGTCCATTCTGGCATGACCAATGTCCCAGGTAACGACACTGGTAACATGCGTGTTGATAGAGAGTGTGGCCAGGAGGAATGGGGGACCGTCCTCCAAGATAGAACCGAAGTTGATCAGTAGGGATGGGGATGAAGGGAGTCACAGGGAGAGGATCGGAGGCATGGACAGCGTTGAAGTAGTTTTTGTGAATTCCTGCCCACAATGCATCCTGCAACAGAACCTCCCAAGCGGAATTGTAAGTCCCTGTACCAAGGTGGGAACTGACCTCTTTAAACAATTCACCTGCGTCAACGAACCCTAACTCCATCGCGCACCACTGCTTCTCCTTCTCTTGATCTGTAATGTCGTCTTTTAATTTATCCTTCGAAGCCAATGATTCCTCTTGCTTCGGGATGATGCGATCAAGAATTCGAGAAGCAGGTGGAGCTAGAAACTCACTGATTTGTTGGTGATGTAAATGGTGATAGGCCCCACCGGTAACAGCCTCGGTAAGGTCCAAAGAAGCCTTCTCTAGCATGTCAATCATGATTACTTCAGACAAGGGCACGGTTCTGCTTAATTTCCGAGTGTGGATCTTCGACACAAGGCCGTTGATTACGTCTGATGCTCTGTAGATTTTAGACAACATCCCAAAGTACTCAACCTGTTCTGGTGAGCACCCATTAATGTTGTCCCCATTGTCGAAGATGTCAAGTGCCCTAACAATGTCCAAGTAGTCACTTGCTGAGATTGGTAACCACTGCTGGTCAAGCCGGGCAGTGGCAGCGGTGGCAAGGAGATCAAGGGCAGCATGTTGTGTGCTGTTGGAGTAGGTGGTGAAGGCGGTGCGAAGGTTGGTAGGTTTGGTAGCATTGGAGCCACCGGCGGCAGTTGCTGTGTTATCGGGGTCATCGTCAGTGTGTGCTTTACCCTTTCCCTTTCAGTTACTGTCCCCCGAAGTGGGGACTCTGGCCTTAGGTGCTGGGGTGCGTCTGACCAAGAACCCCTTGAGTGGACATGGTCCGAGAGCGTGGGTGACAGGGGGCAATATTGGATGGGGTTGGGAGACAGGCGAGGAGAAGTCAGAGACATGAAAGCTGGTGGGGGACATTGGAGGTGAGGTTGGGGCATAGATATTGACGGGGGGAATGAACCTGTCGTTGTCAGCATAGTAAACAGATTCTGAGGCGAGGGGGAGGTCGGCATAGTCATTTTCAGTGTTAGTGGAGCGAGGAGAGTCCATTTAATTCCGTAGGTGATGGGCAAGGTTGTACTGTTCGAGGGCCTCCGATGCGTGGTCTTTTATGTGTTCTTTGGGTTCCCACGTATTTGATGAATGCAGGAATCCTTTCCACTTGACCAGATAGCGCCTCTTTCCTCTGCGACCGTCAGTTTTGTGATTTAGTATTGACTCAACCTCCCATTCAATTTCATCATCCACCAACTTGGGAAGAGGAGCTGCGGGCACAGCTCCATAAGTGTCGTTTTCGGTAAACAGAAAGATGTGGGACACATGAAACACCAGGTGAACTTTCCAAGTCTCTGGAAGCTCCAATCGGAATGCAACTGGGGACACCATGCAAATGACAATGCACAGTGCATGGTATAATGGATGATGCTGTGGTGGTGGAACTCACTCAGTCTACCCAACCAAGATTATCCTTCCTCCAGCGAAATGTTAGATAAGGATTCAACCCCAGATGCAAGATGCTTGGCATCAATCTGGCCACCAGGTGAAGTGGAACACAGTGAGTCTTGATGCTTTACAGATGACAATGAGAATGATGATGGCCATGCCACCACCATCACCATGCAAATGACAATGCACAGTGCATGGTATAATGGATGATGATATCATGCAGGAACCAACTCAGTCCACCCAACTCCATATTCGGCAGGTCACAGATCAAAGTTTGATCTGACCCTTCGATTTGCACTATTTCTCACCTCCACCACGACAGACTGCTCGCATCCTACTCGAAATGGCATCATCGCAATTTCAGGCTTCCACGATCCAGCCGATCTACCCAGTTAAAATGTTTCCTGTCAGTTTCTGCTTGGTCAAAGATTCCAGCACGATTCCACATGCTGGTGGCATGAGGGAGCGTCAGGGTACTATTTACTTAGCTCCAAACGATATGTATATCTTTGGTAGAAGCGGTTGGGTTCGATGGGATCCCAAAGACGCTCTTCATCTTACTGTTGCAGGAGATGAATGCATTATTGCACCTTGCCCCATCAATGGGATCTGGCTGCTGGCTAATGATACATCCTATCCCCACTACCTCACATCCATGGAAGTGGAATTTCGCGGAATCGGATTCCAACACCCCCCAACGAATGCTGACATCCTGCGGCTCATGGGGATGCAATTTTCCAATCCCAAATCCAAATCCCAGGTAAGTGTGCGATCTATAAAACTCTGAGAATACATGCTGATGATGACAGGATTTGGAGAAGCAGGGCGAAGGTGTCATTGGCAGGGCTCAAAAGCCACCTGCAGAGGCTGCAGTCCCTATGCAAGAAGCTGGTAGCCGATTGCAGAAGAGAAAGGCAAGGGATGTAGGTGGGAGTGGATCAAGGAAATTGGACGATGAGGAAGTCAAGGGTGCCCTGATTTCATCCACATCAGCAAGCAGAAAGGGCAAAGGAAAGGAGGTGTTGAAACCAGAAGGTCACTGCACCACGAACGAGAAAAAAAGACAGAGGAGTAAGCACTTCGATTTCTTTCCTATTCTTCAAGGTCCTGATCGTATTTACAGCTGAAGATGCCAAATCCATCGCTGAGCAGGTTCCTTTCCTCGATCAAATCACCTGCCCACCGGATACGAAGGTGATCGATTGGGAATCATTGGATATAAGAACATATGCTCCATGGTTCAGTAAAGTGGTATGTAAATTCGATAGAACCTTCGAATCTAGGAGCTGATAAATGACAACCATAGGACTGTGATGCGGTCGAGTACATGTCCAAGGCCGTCTCCGCCACTGAATACCAGTATGGACATGGGCGGACGATGCTAGTGGAGCTGAAGTATGATGGGGACAAGGGCTCGCTGGCACAGCTAATCGACAACATCAGCGATTCACTGTCGAGGGGATGTGCAGTGTTGGTCAGGGGATGGAAGCCGAATAATCCACCCCTCGACTTCACTTGTGAAGACATTCGCTTCTTCCGCCCGACGATATCACAGGAAGTCGTCGTTCAAGGTATGGATATCATCGTATCGCTAAAATTCATATCGCTAAAGGTAATTAGATGCATTAAAGTGTGCAGAGCAGCAGGAGGCAAAGGGGGGGCCAGACATGAGCAAAGTTTTTGAAGTGCTCAGCGGAGTAAAATTCATCGAGCTTGCAGACGATGAAAATACATGCATGAACCTCCTCAACTTCCCAAACACCCAGCCTGAGGTTCCCATATTCCTCAGGTATGTTGTCGATTGGAACTCGTATTAAGATTCTTTGGATGCTGAAGAATGCACCAGGCAACTATCCAACAATGTAAATGCAAAGACCATGACCATGAACGACATTTATCTCCCCCATTCTGGTAAGAACGCGGGAAAATCATATTATGGCGTGCAGGCAGTCTTGGGGGATGTTAAACGACTTTGTGGATGGGATCTACTGACACATGGGGGTTTCGTCACGTACCCTCACCATGATGTGGCGGGGCTATGCACATACATCACCGTACAGTCCGGCAGCAAGATATGGGGTTATTTCGACACCCCTGGAAGTCAGGATGCACACAGAGAGAATCTATTCAAGGCCTGGGATGATATTTTTGCTGACAACATCAATCTTAAGTTCCGCAAGTATCCTCTTGGGACCGTTCATCTTCAACGTGGAGATACTCTGTATGATTTTTTTTATTCCCAATTCCTGAGTGTGCTCTTATGATTAATGACACCCTAACAGGATTCAGCCTCCTGGGGCTAACCACATGGTGTACACTCTGCAGAATGGCCTCACGTCCGGGGGCCATTTCCTTTCATATTCCACCATGCATCTCACGGAGATCACAATCAATTATGACTGCTCAAAGGTTCCCGAAGGCGAACGGACCGTGCGCGGGCTGGCAGGCACTAACGCAGTGCATCCAGCAATACATCGCATCATCGTATGGATGGTACTGGCCCTTCCGACGATGGCGAAGGACAGAACGAGTACGTCATATGTCATATCTATAAAATACATGTTCCCAGCAAATATTTCCCTTCACCAGGGACATTTTACCGCAGGCCACTGCTGGCCATGATTTCACTGATAGAGAGCAAGAAAGGAAAGTACAAGTCGGCCTGAAGATGCGGATCATATGCCTGCCATGGATGAGAGGGATAACATGAGGAAAGAGATAGCCAATGAGTCGGAAGCAGCGAAGAAAATAATATCGCATCTCAAGAAGGCCCTTCAGGTAACGGATGCCGAAAAAGAACTGGAGACAGGGTTCATGGTGGGATCATGGACCGGTATGCGAACTCTTTAACATCTTCGAAAAAGTACAAATCTGCATAGCATAGTTGGGTATATTATCTGATGTATTGTAGCTGTATTACCAGACGTGCAATAGATGTAGGAGAGTCATGGAAAGGGAATGATGGTTATGTATTTTATTTGTATTACAAGACATGCCATAGACCTAGCAGAGTCAGGGAAAGATGGTTAGTACACTCGAAAACAGGTCTCGGGGTGTCCCAGTCAATTTGGACAGGGGCTTCGGTTCTGGATCAATGTTCGTCAATGTTCGTCAGTGTTCGTCAGTGTTCGTCCTGCTGTACTGGACCTGTAAATGTCGAGATAAGGTCGATTGAAGTGGTACTAGGGGGGACGAACACCACCTCAAGGGATCCAGGCATGCCCCGAGGGGGAGTGGTCAGATGGGAACATTGGTATGTTATACTATGTAGTTTACTTGTATTAAAAGACATGCAATAGACCTAGTGCAGTCGAGGAAAGATGGTTAGTGCACTCGAAACAGGTCTCAGGGTGTCCCAGTCAATGTGGACAGGGGCTTCAGTTCTGGATCAATGTTCGTCGGTGTTCATTGGTGTTCGTCCTGCTGTGTGGACCTGTGAATGTCAAATAAGGTCGATTGAAGTGGTCCTAGGGGGGACGAACACCACTTCAAGGGATCTGGCATGCCATGAGGGGGAGTGGTCAGATGGGAACATTGGTATGTTATAATATGTAGTTTACTTGTATTAAAAGACATGCAATAGACCTAGCAGAGTCAGGGAAAGATGGTTAGTGCACTCGAAACAGGTCTCGGGGTGTCCCAGTCAATGTGGACAGGGGCTTCGGTTCTGGATCAATGTTCGTCAATGTTCGTCGGTGTTCGTTGGTGTTCGTCCTGCTGTGTGGACCTGTGAATGTCAAAATAAGGTCGATTGAAGTGGTCCTAGGGGGGACGAACACCACTTCAAGGGATCTGGCATGCCCCGAGGGGGAGTGGTCAGACAGGAACATTGGTATGTTATACTATGTAGTTTACTTGTATTAAAAGACATGCAATAGACCTAGCAGAGTCAGGGAAAGATGGTTAGTGCACTCGAAAATAGGTCTCGGGGTGTCCCAGTCAATGTGGACAGGGGCTTCGGTTCTGGATCAATGTTCAATGTTCGTCAGTGTTCGTTGGTGTTCGTTGGTGTTCGTCCTGCTGTATGGACATGTTAATGTCGAAATAAGGTCTATTGAAGTGGTCCTTGGGGGACGAACACCACTTCAAGGGATCTGGCATGCCCCGAGGGGGAGTGGTCAGACGGGAACATTGGTATGTTATACTATGTAGTTTACTTGTATTAAAAGACATGCAATAGACCTAGCAGAGTCAGGGAAAGATGGTTAGTGCACTCGAAACAGGTCTCGGGGTGTCCCAGTCAATGTGGACAGGGGCTTCGGTTCTGGATCAATGTTCGTCAATGTTCGTCGGTGTTCGTTGGTGTTCGTCCTGCTGTGTGGACCTGTGAATGTCAAAATAAGGTCGATTGAAGTGGTCCTAGGGGGGACGAACACCACTTCAAGGGATCTGGCATGCCCCGAGGGGGAGTGGTCAGACAGGAACATTGGTATGTTATACTATGTAGTTTACTTGTATTAAAAGACATGCAATAGACCTAGCAGAGTCAGGGAAAGATGGTTAGTGCACTCGAAAATAGGTCTCGGGGTGTCCCAGTCAATGTGGACAGGGGCTTCGGTTCTGGATCAATGTTCGTCAATGTTCGTCAGTGTTCGTTGGTGTTCGTTGGTGTTCGTCCTGCTGTATGGACATGTTAATGTCGAAATAAGGTCTATTGAAGTGGTCCTTGGGGGGACGAACACCACTTCAAGGGATCTGGCATGCCCCGAGGGGGAGTGGTCAGACGGGAACATTGGTATGTTATACTATGTAGTTTACTTGTATTAAAAGACATGCAATAGACCTAGCAGAGTCAGGGAAAGATGGTTAGTGCACTCGAAACAGGTCTCAGGGGTGTCCCAGTCAATGTGGACAGGGGCTTCGGTTCTGGATCAATGTTCGTCAATGTTCGTTGGTGTTCGTTGGTGTTCGTCCTGCTGTGTGGACCTGTGGATGTCGAAATAAGGTC